AGGAATAAACAACCTTTTATTTGTCCTGGCGACATCTACAGAAGCAGTAATAAGTTATGGAGGGGTTGACACGTTATGTGAAGTGACATTTTACATTCGGGTGCGCTTACCGCTCTTCCTGTACCTTTTAGCTTCTAAGACAAGAACGACTGCGAGTAGGAGATTTTTTCAATAGAGAGACTAAGCATCGCGTTTACGGCAAACAGCAAACGTGAGATTCAAGTTGAGAAATTTTCAAAATGAGAAATGAGCAGATAAAAACAGCTTTAAACAATTCTTATAGTTATAATTGGCTCGAATCTGCCGATTTTCGTGTAGTTATAGTTACAGTAGAGGATGTTAGCGTCGACAACGAGTACGAGTTCTAGAACGAGATCAGCGATTTTGCGTACTGCGCATCCGTTCTGCGCATCTTCACGTTTTCAAGTCGTCCTGTCAAGTTGCACTACGACGAGTTCTCACCAAAAACTCGAAGTGGGTAGAACGACTGGGAAGAGCTGGTTTTCAAAGGTAAATTCCGATCGTTTAATGCAGTTTCTTTTAGTTTCTAGCCTCTCTTTATCATCTTGAACATTCCTTATATTATGTTTTATGTAAAATACTGCTTTTGAAGTCGAAGAAAAGCAACCGAACACGATATTTCCTACACAGAGTAAATTTGCATTTACCCAGGAAAGTATATAAACTATAAACTCGAACTCGGTGTCATCGCTGAACATAGAAAGCTGAGAAAACGACTTCGAGTACGAGTACGGCTTGAAGTCGTTCTCGTACTCACACTCGCACTCGTTGTTGATGCTAACATCCTCTAGTAAAGTTCGCGCGCGTGAACGAGCGTCATTTTGGCGGGAAACGTGGTAGCCGTCGTCATTCTACTACGAGGTTCAGCAAAAATGTCGTAGTAGAGAAAACAAGTGATCACAAATGTTTTTTCTTTTTTTCTTTTCTTTTCTTTTTTTTTAAAAAAAAGGATCCACTTAGGTTGCATATTAAAGTCCTAGTTCTGAATTGATTTTTAGCTGGACTGATAAAAGTACATTTTAGGGATTCAAGATATCGGAGCCCGTGGTTGATAGAATTTGACATTACCGGTTTGTCTTGAGCTGACAGGGTTGCTTAGTGTACGTAATCAGTTCGTATTTGCATTGTGACTTTATCGAGGATTCTGAGTTCGCTTAAAAGTCCACTAAATTTTACTCAAATGATCTGTGCGCAACTTCGGACAAAAACACGAACTTCAATATCTCAAAAACTATGCTATGTAAAGTCGGGATTTCAATTCTTTATGCAGTAGAACGGTTTAGTTCACTATTTTCAAGGTAATTTTTGCTGATGCAATCGAATTGAGTTTAAACTATTTTTCGTAAATTACCGTAATTTGTGGCATTTCTAAACAAATTGAACAGCGCTCGCGTATAGGAAAAATATTTGCTGGCTGGCACTTAGCGATAGCTATTACTAGTGAATGCATTTTCCTTATAGCACTCAAAATTACCACAATTCTTTCTGAAAAAAAAAGTTAAATAAGCTACTTGCCACTAAGCTGGTACCCAGGGTGAGAATTGACGACAAACTAAAAGGAAAAAAAACATCCCTACTCGACGATGCCTTCAGGGCCTCTGTCGAGGAAGTGTAAAGGATAAGTGTCTTTTGAAATATTTTTTGAAATCATTGAGATCAGCAATTGCACTTAACGTCTCCTTTTATTCAGGTTAAAATTAATACAACATTACTAAGCTATGGGTACACTGTAACATCAAAAATCTGATCACTGTGCTACGCAACTCGCTGGGATTAAATCTAAGCAGTTAAAAGCAGTTACGTCCTAAAGTGACGTGATATGAATGCCCGAGACTATGCTTTAAATCTATAGCCTGGAAAAACTCGATAGTACAGGAAACAAAACACCCGTCCGATTTTAAAGCAGTCATAGTTGAACGATTGCTGTTGTTTCCTAGTACCAAACCACAGGACGTTCCGGACAAGCGATCTGAAACTGATCTGTTTGATAGCAGCCTGTTTGATAACTCAGTAAAACAAAAATTACAATTGGCATTAAATTAATGGCACGATAAAGGTACTGCAACTATTCTGAACCACAGCTCTGATACATGGGTTATCAACAATTAAAAATCATACTGCACTCACGTCGTAGTACACGAATAATGTGCGCTCGATTTACTGACTCACTAAATAATCTATGGCGGCTTCCCACTAGTGCATAATTGTTTGGAAACGCCTACCTTTAATGCGTTTTGGCTTTTCGTCCACACTAAAACGATAAAAAAGCCGATGTTTTCATAAAACGGCCTCAAAGGTGGAGACTTTTCAAAATGGAGGTCAACGGCTATTTAAGTATAAAGAGCGAAAACAGAGGTTTACGAATGCGCTGACTTCACAGCTCAACACGCCCTTTAGAATACCCTAGGTACGAAAACATTTGTCTCCAGACATGTGTTTTCCTAGTTTAGTATTGACTGTAGAAAACGAAACTTAAACGCAACTATGGACATCCATAGTTTCGTTGCCGTTTTCGTGATCGCCAAAAAAGGAGGCGTTTTGATCAGTTTTGATAACACATTAGTGTGGACATGGCCTTAAAAAGTTATGCCGCGTGTTCAGTGCATATTTAACGCTGTTGGTTAGAGTTTTAAAAAGAAAAAAAAACTTGTTTTCGGATACCCTCCATCCTTAGTTTGGACTGACTATCTTAGCTTATCTTATGCTTTCCAATAAAACGTTACAAAGACAAACATTAATCTAAAGTCAAAAATTGAACAAACTGACTGAACAAAACCCGAAAGTTGGACTAACTATAAAGTGACAGATGTCAAAGTGAAAAACGACGGATCGGATCGAAACGCACCATTCGAACTTTAGAGTCTTTGGTGTTATTGACTGACGACCAATGACATCACGACTTTGTTGACAAATCAGGGCCAGAGTTTGACAATATACTATTCACTTTGATGTTCAGTTACTGTCAACAATAGTCCTTTTCACGACTACACTCTCTTATTCATCTACTGATGATTATGATCAACATTACTCTTGCTTTGGGGTCAAACGATTATTGACGATATATAACAAAATGTTAACAAAAGCATCGGCCCATGTGAGGGAATCTGGGTTCTGCAATCCGTGAAATGTGGAACCTGGAATCCTATGCTTTGGAATGCGGAATACAGCTCAACGAATCCGGAATCCTACTAAGGATTGGAATCCAATCCAAGGTTCCACTAGAAAAAACTGGAATCAAGTGCCTGGCATCAGGAATCCACGGTGTGGAATCCAGAATCCAAGACTGTCTTGGATTCCCTTACATGAAACGAAAAGCAGCACATGTCAAAAACTGCTGTTTACGTATTTATTAAATGCTGCTTCGTTCCATCAGTCTTAAGTTGTTGTGGTTACACTAAACCTTTTTTTTAAAGTTGAAAAAGGCTTTTACGGTCTCATACGCTACTGTTATTAAATATTAATTAAAATAGGCCATTTACACGATGACGTGATTTTATTACTTCGACCAGAATCCTATTCTTTGTTTTCCCTTTCATAGTCATTCTTAGTAATCCTAGCGAGGTTTAAACAACAAAAGCCCTAGTTTGCGAACAGAGCAAAACCCTGAAGGATGCTGGCAGTATTAGTAAAATGACGTTATTGTGAAAATGGCCTATCGAAAGTTAAATTCCATCTGGCAAAAAAATGTGTTTTTGGTATCCCACAGTCTCTTAAACGGGAAGTCTTTTTTGTATGTGTAAACACAGACACTCTTTCAGAAGTTTTCTGACATCACATATCAGCGCCCCTTGTAACTGAAGAAAATAAGATATACTGCATTGATACACTTCAGAAAAATAACACCTTCAATTAGTGCACGATTTCAAGGACGAAATGAATTTGAAACTTGACAGCAAGACAAGGCAAAATTTGAACTCTTATAGATTAACCGAGAGGATTTTCATGATATTTTCAAGAGCCATCCAACTGATAAAACATTTTATTTCCCATTCTCGATAAAATAAAATAGGAGCCTTGTACAGAGTAAAATCAAACTTTGACTGGAGCTCATAGCAAAACCTTTAGCGTTCATACAGCTGTCCGCAGATGTATAAGCAATCTGTTTTATTTTAAAACAGCTGACCTCCAAATCTACCAACCAAAAAACGAAGACAGTTGTTTGATTATCATCTTTTATGCACATCGTCGCTAAATAGGTTGAAGTAACCATCTTCGCAAGGGGTTTTAGTAGAGCATATAGAACGGAGAGGCTTATATCCGAGGGGCGATTATAAACCGGAATAGAGAAAGCGCTTCGAGATAAGCTATAGCGGTGTTGATCAAAGTTCTTTTTGCATTTGCTGTCTTTAATCAAGGTTCAAAACGCCATAATAAATCAAATTCAGTTCCACACATTTGGAGGGGGCTTATAATCGATGTATTTTTATTTTTACAGGCAGATGGTCATATAACTGGGGGTGGGGGTGGGGGTGGGGAGGGGCTTATAAGTGGCAGTTCACGGTGTTTGCATTGAGGCTCCCTATTGTCCACAAAAATTTTTTCACTTTTATTCACTTTTCTTTGTATCTGGCATTTGTGAAATATTAGAGCTATTTTCTCTCGCTGATGTCTTGGGTCATCTTTGATCCAATAACGGAATGTATTATAATCTTCTCTTAGGATAACAGTAACGTAGGCCAGCAATGCAAAGTGAATGATCAGATTCTTTTAAGAACATTGAAGTGTGTCTTCAATGTTTTATTAATTTGTTAACAGTTTGTAACGAATAGAATCGTATTGAGTGAATTCATAGCAATCGAACAGTAGCCACCCATCGCATTCTTATTTTTCAAGATTTGCACTTGCTTTCCTAGTTACAAACGAAACTGCCAATTATCTTAAATATTTTTTAAAGATGCTTTTTGATTCATATTTTTGCAACTTATGTTTTTGGGATTCGAGACAATGAAAATCAAAAATTTACAAAAAAAAAACTTCTTCTACTTACGACTTTTGCGGTTACTTTCATCAAATTCAATCGTAACGTCATCACCAATCAGTACAAATGGAGCCCAGTACTTTGGGGCAGAATACTTGTCCGAGTCCCGGAGACATTTCATGGCCCTCTGAAGAGCAGAACTAGCACTTTCTCCACCCCTTAGGTGTTGGTAAAAACTTTTCATAAACTCCAGGGTTGATTCGTCATTAATTGCCCAGAGTGTCGCCACCACGGAACGAGCACCAGCAAACAAGAAAGCCCGAGCAATACCGACCACACCCTCAGACGAGACCTCTCCTTGACCACTATGAGGGCAACTAAGGACAACCAGCCTGGCTCTCAGTTTAACAGCTTGTATATCGGACATTCTCAAAAAATACTCCTCCTCAGGAATCTTGGATTCCCAGCAAGGGTCTGGAGCCAAAGCAATTTCACCAGTTTCTTTACTTCCGTGTGCTGCAATGTGAACCAAAGCAACTGAATTTATTCTGCGAAGAACTTCTTTTTTGGTCGCTGCCTCTCCCGTCAGTGGTTGGCACTTAAGAATTTCTCCAATCATCTCCACTTCCTTTTTTGCGTATTCCAGTTGATCATAAATAGGATAACCCCCTTTATTCGTAACTTTCTTCAGACATGGATCTCCAACAAGCAGGGCGCCACTTTTACAGTGGTATTCATCTGGTGAATCTATGATTAATTTCAGACTTGTCAGTGAGGGAACTGTGCGGATCCTTAAAGATCCACTTAGCGCGGCCCAAGGAGCTAAGGACAAAGCGCCATCAGGGACTACAATGAGTTCATCACCATCAAGCAAGTCTTCAATGGGTCCAATGACTGCATCATACAGTGGCTTCAAACAGTCGATAGTATCGTGCGACAGCTGCGATGTTTGATCATCCTTTTCAGTACTGGAAGTTTGGTTATCCTTTCGCTCATCCAATGACCGATTCTCGCACCGAACATCGACGCCAGCCCTAATGTTTTTCAAAGTAGTTTTTAAAAGTACAGCAGAAGAATCTTCGTGTACACCTTCAACTTTAAGCTCCGCTTGCCTAAAAATAGCTTTCCTTTCCTTCCTCAGGACCCACATATTGATTGTTTCTTTTTGAACTGCCAGAAAAACTGTCGAAACAGATATCTTCTTTAAAATAATTGTGAGTTCTTCTTCAGATTCATTTGACTTCAGGAGCGAAAGGGATGTTAAGCCATAATTCATTTTCAACGCATCTACTAAGGCCTGTGCTCGTCCCTTCTCGGTAGCATATAAAGCCTCATCCGTCAGTTGAAGCTTTATTAGAACTTGCCACAACCAAGTGTAGGCACCTTTACAAAGATTACGAAAACTTATTTTCAGTACATCTTCCGAAATGCAACTGGCCCTGATAGCATCAAGGATTTCTACGCTGGTTATAAAATGAAATAAAGCTTCATTCCAACAACCTAACTTTAAAAGACATTCTCCCAGCCTGCAATATGCGTCTCCTTCAAGGAACTTGTTACCGACTTCCTCAGCAATGCTCCGATATTGCCTTAAGTACTCTATTGCTTGTTGAAACTCTTCAAGAGACTTATAAGCCATGCCGAGACTGCAATAGGCAAGTCCTTCTCCAGCCCTGTTGCCGACTTCCTTGGCAATGCTCAGGCGTTTCTTTTGATACTCTATTGCTTGTTGAAAGCTTTTGAGGGAGTATTGAACCATGCCCAGATTGCCATAGGCAAGTCCTTCTCCGGCCCTGTCACTGACTTCCTTGACAATGCTCAGGTGCTGTTTGTAACACACCCATGCATTTTGGAAGTTGTCGAGGGAGTAGTAAGCATTGCCGAGACTACCATAGGCACGTCCTTCTCCGGCCCTGTCGCCGACTTCCTGGGCAATGCTCAGGTCTTGGTTGTGGTAATTTATTGCTTCTTGGAATTTGCCGAGGGAGTGATAAGCATTGCCGAGATTGCCATAGGCACGTCCTTCTCCGGCCCTGTCGCCGACTTCCTGGGCAATACTCAGGTCTTTGTTGTGGTAATTTATTGCTTCTTGGAATTTGCCGAGGGAGTGATAAGCATTGCCGAGATTGCCATAGGCACGTCCTTCTCCGGCCCTGTCGCCGACTTCCTGGGCAATACTCAGGTCTTTGTTGTGGTAATTTATTGCTTCTTGGAATTTGCCGAGGGAGTGATAAGCATTGCCGAGATTGCCATAGGCACGTCCTTCTCCGGCCCTGTCGCCGACTTCCTGGGCAATACTCAGGTCTTTGTTGTGGTAATTTATTGCTTCTTGGAATTTGCCGAGGGAGTGATAAGCATTGCCGAGATTGCCATAGGCACGTCCTTCTCCGGCCCTGTCGCCGACTTCCTGGGCAATGCTCAGGTCTTGGTTGTGGTAATTTATTGCTTCTTGGAATTTGGCGAGGGATTGATAAGCATTGCCGAGATTGCCATAGGCACGTCCTTCTCCGGCCCTGTCGCCGACTTCCTGGGCAATGCTCAGGTCTTGGTTGTGGTAATTTATTGCTTCTTGGAATTTGGCGAGTGATTGATAAGCATTGCCGAGATTGCCATAGGCACGTCCTTCTCCGGCCCTATCGCCGACTTCCTGGGCAATGCTCAGGTCTTGGTTGTGGTAATTTATTGCTTCTTGGAATTTGGCGAGTGATTGATAAGCATTGCCGAGATTGCCATAGGCACGTCCTTCTCCGGCCCTGTCGCCGACTTCCTGAGCAATGCTCAGGTTTTTGTTGTGGTAATTTATTGCTTCATGGAATTTGCCGAGTGACTGATAAGCATTGCCGAGATTGCCATAGGAACGTCCTTCTCCGGCCCTGTCGCCGACTTCCTGGGCAATGGTCAGGTCTTGGTTGTGGTAATTTATTGCTTCTTGGAATTTGCCGATGGAGCGATAAGCAATGCCGAGATTGCCATAGGCGTTTCCTTCTCCGGCCCTGTCACCGACTTCCTGAGTAATGCTTAGGTCTTGGTTGTGGTAATTTATTGCTTCTTGGAATTTGCCGAGGGAGTGATAAGCATTGCCGAGATTGCCATAGGCACTTCCTTCTCCGGCCCTGTCGCCGACTTCCTGGGCAATGCTGAGGTGTTTGTGGTGGTAATATATTGCTCTTTGGAAGTCGCTAAGGGAGAAATAAGCGTTGCCGAGGCTTTTGTAAGTATTTCCTTCCTCTGTTCTGTTGTTATTCGTTTTGGCTTTTGTAAGATGCTTTTCGAGGTCATCTATATTTTTTAATATTCCCTCTGTCATTTTTTATCTTTTAAAGTTCTAATATAGCAAGTCTTATCGCTTCTTGAAGGTCCCGGTCCTTGATGTATGAAGAAAGGTTTTTATCGTTGCATCATTCTTTCTTGACTTCTGTTTCCTCTTTTCTCGTAGCAAATTCTTTAGAGCTACATGGAGGTAGACAATAAGAAGCACAAGTCTTAGAAATACATTTACGAGAAGAAGAAGTGCCTTTATTTACCAGATTCATACGCATAACCTGTTACATTTTTACAAGGCAGAAGATCGAATGCAAGCAATTTCTGTTGAGCGCTTAGATGAGGTTACTTCCTTATAAGAGGCTGATGGGGATGTGCCGCTGGATGGGGTCGCATTTTCAACAGAGTTACAAGATTGAGATCGTACATTTTCTGATTTTTGGGTCAGACAGTTATTCATATTTGCGGTTAGTAAACGTACCAGAATGTTTGTACTGTAGGTGAAAAGTAAGGTGTTCTTCATTCAATATAGGATAGTTACATAAATAAAAGTGACTAGGTTGGGATCGCAAAATTTACGTATTTGCCCAAAAGTGACTAAGATGGGGTCTCTAATTGGCCACAGAATAGTCTATAATGGGGTAGGGGCTCTGAGAGGCCAGCGGCACATACCCAGCAAAACTTAACCCAAGTAACCCCTCCCCCGGGCATACGCCGTTTGTCGCGTTGCTAGGTGATCGCTCCTCTTATTCCTACTTTTTTAATCCCGGAGTAGTCAAAAGATAAAAATCGGTAGCAATCAAGTGATTTTTATCGATTGAAGATTGAAAATTGATAAACTGGATTGCTGTGTCAAATCGATATTATCGATTTTTCATGGTTTCAGAACCATTTATAACGGAAGTCCGCCATTGTTGTTTTTTGGCATGAGTTAAATAGTACAGCTAAGAAAACACATCCACGAGTAACAATTGATCAAATGAACATGAAAATGAGAAATGTGGAAACTATATTACACATGCCTTTCTCTCTAAAACCCTTTATTTTGTTCATAATAACAAAAACGGTTCGGTTAAACTACATTTAATTCTCGAAGGCAAGTATCACGAGAAATACATCCTTAGCAAGAGAGGATAAAGGGGACAGAGAAAGCATCCCCCATACACAAACTATTCCATAGGTGATTCGTCTCCAGTTATTTTTAAGACCATAGATCCCAAGGGGGGTTAGTCAACAGCCAATCACATAGCGCTAATGTGTTCCGCGTGGATGACCCACGCCCAGAGCCACGCGTCCTTCACGAATTGACGCAGGAAAAAATGGCAGACGACGCGGAGAACGATATGGCTATATTGCTATTTGTTTTGTCGACGAAAACGACTAAAGAGAGATTTCTGCTAAAGCTGTGTCAGCGAAACGGAAATTAAAAAAGAATCGCCCTTCCTCTCTTGTATAGAGCTAACAGTACAATAGGGAAATCCTTAACACACAGAATATTCTCTCAGGATCATTTATAATTTACAGTTTGAAGTGAGCAATTTCTGGTTTGATATTTATTCTTTTATTAGTCTTTTATTATTCAACAAAAATAACACTTGGCGTCCTACTTGCTTTATTATACAAACGACCGGTTTCAATAGACCGGCGAAATTTCTCATTTTATTAAAGCACCGAGGTTACGACAACTTCGAGTTAAACTGATTTCACGGGTTGTCAAAGAGTCTAGCGATTTCCTTTTCCCAGGTGAGCGCCGACTCATTTCGCTTCAATATTCAGAAATGCTCTCGATCTCTTTACGCTTTCATTGCCTTTCGCCTTACATGTTTTGCACGGCATTTAGTCATGTGGAACCTCCACGAAACATCCACGCAGTGCGCGAGGTAACTTTATCCCGATTCTAAAAATAACTCGAGACGAATTACCTATGGAACAGGGTGTGTATGGGGGATGCCTATGTGATTGGCTGTTGTCTAAACCCCCTTGGGATCTATGGTCTTAAAAATAACTCGAGACGAATTACCTATGGAATAGGTTGTGTATGGGGGATGCCCTCTCTGTCTCCTTTATCCTCTCTTGCTAGAAATTAAGAGATAATGGTTAAAAGTATGAAAACTGTTAGATTCAGGTGTGTATCCATAAAGAACTTCCGTTGGATTAGGATTTATGTTTTCAGAACGTTTACTATTCCACCAATCCGGCTATGACTTTTTCCCAAAAAATATTATGGCAGGACACTTTTAAAATATACGGCTAATAGTTTCACACGAAGCATCACATTTTTCCCATTTTGGAGAAGATTTAACATTCGTTTTCCAAACGGCGTTGGTTGGTTGGAAGAATACTGTGGATGAGTTTGAACTGAAAACTTCTTAGCTTATTCTTAATGGTGATTTTGAATGGAAGCTCATAGTTTTCTTGCCTAAAAAACAGTTAACCCTAGGATTTTGTCGACTTTTAAAAGATCGCTCTCAAAAAAAATGGGAAAAAAGCGAGCTCACACATTATCCAATCGCTAGAAGGTGAATATTGTTGAATAGTCCGAGATAGCGAACTAATCAGATTGCTTAAATCACCAAGATCACGGAGTGTGTATATACATGTAGAGTGGGGCGGATATGTGCAGATTTGGGGACGGATTGTTCACTTTTTGCTAAAAGTACCAAATTTTCAGGAATGACAGAACTAATTATGACTATTAATATGTGATATGGTGCCATCGCAAATTTTTCCTGTTAAACTGGTTTTTGGAGTGAAAATTAAACTGGCCGCCATTTTGACCAAAAGTAAATATCACCTAAACAAAAGTACACAAAATAAAGCATTTTTTAAGCCAAAATGACGATGAAATGGTTTATTATATAAACTAATCGTGGCTATTAATATGTGATATGGTGCCATCGCAAATTTTTCCTGTTAAACCGATTTTTAGAGTTATTACTAAAATGGCCGCCATTTTGACCGGAGGTAAATATCACCTAACCGAAAGTACACAAAATTTAGCATGTTAACTTCAAAATGACAACAATATTGTTTGTTCTATGTTTTTCCGGATATTTATGTCATATAAAAAAGTCAACCGTGTTACAAATTAGCGGTTTAAATGAGAGAACCTGAGGTAAAAGCGGGATAAAATGGAAAATGCAGCTCATTCAAAGCAATTCATTTCAGTAGTGAATTTAAAAAGAATGTGAAACAATGATTCACATTTTTAAGCATAGGAAGGCCAAACATATGAACAGATTTAACTAGCAAAACACAGATTATTTCTTTTTACTTGTTTTAACCCTTTAAGTCCCAATAGTGACCAAAATCAATTTTCTTCTGACTCATAATATCCATACAAGGTCAAGAGATTAGGTTTTCAGAATTAATAAAATTATCACCTAAGAGAAAATCTTTATCAAATTCTCTCAACTTATCCTTTTAAGGAAATATATAGAGACCAGTTTGAAGAATTTGTAAGGGTTAAAAGAGTTGATCCACTATTAACTAGAAAAACGGCCTGAGACGCGGGCAAACAACAAAGAATACAACAAGGCAATAAGGTACGTCGATTTTATTTAAAAACATAACATTTTTTCTCTCTTTTAAGAAAAACCGTTTACATCCCAAACAAGACTTTGTAAATAACCGTTTGTAACACAACACCGCTCGCAAGCAAGAATCAAGTCCGCGTTCCTGTAATGAGTTTGGGCCGCCTGTGGGCTGCCTTGCACTTCCTCCGTTCCATGCATTCACAGGATGTTACAAGGTGAATACTTCTGGTCACCTCCAGAAATAATCGGAGTTGTTTTCGCTTACACGTTCTTCTATACGATAGAAAAAGTAGTTCTTTACCGTCAACTGACGAAGCCAAAAGTAGTTTCTTTGACCCGGCCTGCATTACTTAAACATTCAAGAGCACGGCGAACCATGCTGGCCACATATGAAGTCAGCGGGCACTGGTACCAAGCATCTCGGTTCCTAGTCTGCAAGATTGGGGCTGAATATCTCTAAGAGGAGAGTGGCGACTCTCCTACACACCACTGTCAAAAATTACAAAGTTGAGGGTGGAACTAGTCAAGTACGCTCGTAAGAAGGGCTATGCCCAGAAGAGTGACAATCGTGAAAAGCAATCCCAAACTCTTTTTTCGATTACAAGCACTCGTCTGCATGAAGTATCAAGTCATTAGGTCACCGAGATATCACCTGTTCTTCTTCGATATTTTGTATCATAGCCAAAGTAGGTTCAAGTTTAGTAATGGATTATACGTGATGAGAATAGTAAATTGAGTGTATACATTAGATTTAAAGAAAATATTAAAGTAAAGAAAACTAGCATAAGCTCATTCCTTAAAAGTTCCGACTCTGGTAGTTTTTCTTCCGGTCTAGCTGGCGGCCTGCACTTATATCATCTTTATTCTATTTTTTTAGACAATTTGCGTTGAAATAATATCTCTTTGTATGAAAAAACAGCTGCCTTAGGCATTTTCTGACATTTTCTTATCCAAGTTGCTAAAATTCAGACGTTTTAAAGAAAATGTTAATTTCACTTCCGGTTCAAAATGGCCGCCATATAAAAACTCTTATTTTTCGGACTTAACGGCCTTTTTGGCGATGGCATCATATCCTATCTTTTTTAGGGCCTTGAAAACTATAATCATGCCAAATTTCATGCTTTTAACAGAAAGTGAACAATTGAAGCACATATCTGCTCTACTAATACTAATATTACAGCGTTTACCACTAACACGCGCCTTTGAAGGGTTTTTTTTCTGTCTGTTTAAACCTGAGTTTTCGTGGACGTCAATCACCTGTTTCCATGGTTTTCCACGCGCTCTGACAGAGAAGGTTCCCTCATCCATAAATGAAGGGCGAATAATTTCGAACGACGACGGCTTTTTTTTAATTATTTTATTAAGATGAAGGATGACATTGTTAAAACAACGAGGTCTCTGCGAGCTGAGTGAAATAGTCGAAACATTCTCTATAGTTTACGTAACGGTTTTCAGGTTGTTTATTTATTTGATGTCTGAAAACGCAGGAGCCGTGGACAACTGAATTGCGAAGAAGCTAGTATAAATTCAAAGAAACAAAAGATATCACACCGAAAAGGGAAAAAAAGTTTCCTCTGAATGGAGGCTATTTTCGAAAATGAATTTTACTACTTATCATTCTTCATGTTATCGAATAGAAACCAGAACTAGCAAGAACTTCGACGAGTTGCGAGCGATTGAGAAAGCTTATGTGTTTGTAACTTACAGTGCGTAAATATGTCGATAATTTGAGTTTTCTCCGAGAAACACTCAACAAATTCTTTGTCCTCGTAATCTTGACATGAAGCGGTGTCAGATCCTGCAGCAAAATATTGCAAAAACGCCGACATATTCTTCCGAATGCTCAAGGAACGGAGAGGGAATCTTCTCTGGGCCAATGCGTGAAAAACCATGGTAACGGTTGACTGACGTCCACCAAAACGCAGGTTGAACCGCAAAAAAAAAACCCTTTGAGGGCGCGTGTTAGTGGTAACCGCTAATTATGCGCCTAGTCAGTGTCTAGTATTAAATTGTCTATTTACTGTCTTCCTGCATAATATAGATCGTTTTCACTGTCACGCAACAAAAAGTTAAATTGGAAACCGTCCAGTGGAAGAAACCAAGAAAACGAAATGTTATAAAAGACTTATATATAAACAGTTTGTCCAAGTCTCAGGTCTTTGTGGCCCATAGTTTCTGAGTTATTTGGCGAAACGTTTCACGCACCTTTGTAGAGCTTTGTATGGAGACGCCATATTGGTGCACCGTTTTGGTGCACCAATATGGCCGCCGGAAATCAACAAAAACGTCTGGAGTTTACTTTTTCTATAAAAGCTCTTTCTTTTCACTCGAGAACTAGCGTACGTACGCATAAACATGTCTTCTAATACTTGAAGTGGTTATATTGCTGAAAATCAAGAGGAGAGACTTTTTTTAACGAGACAGCATTCCTGTTTTGGTGTCACGCACAGTGAAAACTCGGAAGTTCAAATTGCTGTATTTTCGAAATGAAACATGCTACGGAAATGGAAACTGGTACAAAGATTTACTTTTTGTTTATCTTCAACTTAGTGTAAATAAGAATTCGTAAAACCTCGCTATTTTGACTTTACAATTTGATGACGTCACAGTGAAAACCATCTATAAATTCGGTATAGGTTTTCTAACGAGCGTCTCTCTACTACAATAGGCAAAATAGGCTTGCCTAGACTTGTCCGGTAATTAACTTTAGCCCGTTTTGAACGTCTATGAAAAAAGTAGGAATCATCAGAGAGAAGCGATTACCCAGCAACGCGAAAAAGGGCTTGCGTCGTCTTATTTAGCGTCAAAAATCGGATATATATAAACAAAACACACGCTCAAAGAGGAGCTGGAAACTCTTTATTTCAATTTTGTCTGACTATTACAAAACCGTTTTCTTCTTTCTATCTCGAGGAAATTGAAAAATATTGAAGTATAAGCGTTTCACGCGCCGTTAGCCAGTTGATTATGCGCGAGAGGTAACAAGCCCGCCATTGCACACAAATATTAGTTCAGCTCTGCAGTAAAAACTTCAAGGGAAAACCTTGACGTTTTGTTATAAAAACACAGCCACCAAAAATATAAACAATTAACAACTTAACAAGGATCAATTGAAACACGCAACTAATAAATTGATTCTCGCAATAAAACCAGACACGTTTCTTATGACACAAGAAATCAACTTAATGACCCTTTATTCAAATAATTACCAAAAAGATTAGATTAAATAGTAGTATACCATATTGAAAGATAAGCCCCATTTTGGATTTCCCTTGGATTTCCCGCATACTAATTTGGATTTCCTGCGTACTAATTAAGTGCCTTCCTCCAAAGATAATGAAGTGGATAGGTTTACTAATGAGCGTCTCTCTACTCCAATAGAAACAATAGGCTTGCCTAGACTTGCCCGTGAAGTAACTTGAGGGTAGTTTCGAAAACGAAGCACGCGAAAACGAAGACCGAAGCACGAAGCACCCAAAACTCGAAAACGAAGCACCCTATCTCGAAAACGAAGCACCCAAACCTCGAAAACGAAGCACCCAAACCTCGAAAACGAAGCACCCAAAACTCGAAAACGAAGACCCCTAAATCTCGAAAACGAAGCACCCTAGATCGAAAACGAAGCACCCAAAAACACGAAACCGGTCTGTCCTTTATAAACACGAGACCAATGCTAATACAGCAGGAATCAAGCACGATAACGAATTCTCCACCATAGAGCCTGGTCCCAGGCTGTTATCCTAGAACAAATTCTGCCTGGATCTGATCTGATCTGATCACGCAGTGTCATAGGTATCCAATATGTTAGACTGCAAAACAATCGTTTTTTTTCTCAAAATCAGTAAAGAAGTTGGTAAAGCGTGGCGTAAGAGTAATACGCGCGAGCCTCACACTCGGTTTCAGCCTCGTTTCAGACCTTTTGTATAACTGCTCACGCGTACTTGAATACGCCAAAATCTGCTGACGGACAGTTTTGAAGTCTACATAAACATGTATGTGTACCGAAAAAATGCATATTAAGGTAAGATGTATCAAGTATAGCGAGACTAATATTAAANTATCTTCAACTTAGTGTAAATAAGAATTCGTAAAACCTCGCTATTTTGACTTTACAATTTGATGACGTCACAGTGAAAACCATCTATAAATTCGGTATAGGTTTTCTAACGAGCGTCTCTCTACTACAATAGGCAAAATAGGCTTGCCTAGACTTGTCCGGTAATTAACTTTAGCCCGTTTTGAACGTCTATGAAAAAAGTAGGAATCATCAGAGAGAAGCGATTACCCAGCAACGCGAAAAAGGGCTTGCGTCGTCTTATTTAGCGTCAAAAATCGGATATATATAAACAAAACACACGCTCAAAGAGGAGCTGGAAACTCTTTATTTCAATTTTGTCTGACTATTACAAAACCGTTTTCTTCTTTCTATCTCGAGGAAATTGAAAAATATTGAAGTATAAGCGTTTCACGCGCCGTTAGCCAGTTGATTATGCGCGAGAGGTAACAAGCCCGCCATTGCACACAAATATTAGTTCAGCTCTGCAGTAAAAACTTCAAGGGAAAACCTTGACGTTTTGTTATAAAAACACAGCCACCAAAAATATAAACAATTAACAACTTAACAAGGATCAATTGAAACACGCAACTAATAAATTGATTCTCGCAATAAAACCAGACACGTTTCTTATGACACAAGAAATCAACTTAATGACCCTTTATTCAAATAATTACCAAAAAGATTAGATTAAATAGTAGTATACCATATTGAAAGATAAGCCCCATTTTGGATTTCCCTTGGATTTCCCGCATACTAATTTGGATTTCCTGCGTACTAATTAAGTGCCTTCCTCCAAAGATAATGAAGTGGATAGGTTTACTAATGAGCGTCTCTCTACTCCAATAGAAACAATAGGCTTGCCTAGACTTGCCCGTGAAGTAACTTGAGGGTAGTTTCGAAAACGAAGCACGCGAAAACGAAGACCGAAGCACGAAGCACCCAAAACTCGAAAACGAAGCACCCTATCTCGAAAACGAAGCACCCAAACCTCGAAAACGAAGCACCCAAACCTCGAAAACGAAGCACCCAAAACTCGAAAACGAAGACCCCTAAATCTCGAAAACGAAGCACCCTAGATCGAAAACGAAGCACCCAAAAACACGAAACCGGTCTGTCCTTTATAAACACGAGACCAATGCTAATACAGCAGGAATCAAGCACGATAACGAATTCTCCACCATAGAGCCTGGTCCCAGGCTGTTATCCTAGAACAAATTCTGCCTGGATCTGATCTGATCTGATCACGCAGTGTCATAGGTATCCAATATGTTAGACTGCAAAACAATCGTTTTTTTTCTCAAAATCAGTAAAGAAGTTGGTAAAGCGTGGCGTAAGAGTAATACGCGCGAGCCTCACACTCGGTTTCAGCCTCGTTTCAGACCTTTTGTATAACTGCTCACGCGTACTTGAATACGCCAAAATCTGCTGACGGACAGTTTTGAAGTCTACATAAACATGTATGTGTACCGAAAAAATGCATATTAAGGTAAGATGTATCAAGTATAGCGAGACTAATATTAAAATTAATACAGGATATCCTATCTAGAAACGTTCAGTGAAACAGTTGGTTATAAAACCTTGAGATGGATTTTGTGGACTTTGGAGGTGCGGACGCATCCGCTGCCTCCACCTGATTCGGATTGCTTCATGTAAGACGTAAAGTTGCACTTATTAAATCTACAGTGGTTTCGAGTTTTCGTTTTCGAGATTTAGGGGTCTTCGTTTTCCAGTTTTGAGTGCTTCGTTTTCGAGTTTTGGGTGCTTCGTTTTCGAGATTTTGGGGTCTTCGTTTTCGAGATAGGGTGCTTCGTTTTCGAGTTTTGGGTGCTTCGTTTTCGAGATTTGGGTGCTTCGTTTTCGAGTTTTGGGTGCTTCGTGCTTCGGTCTTCGTTTTCGAGTGTTTCGTTTTCGAAACTACCGTAACTTGAGCCTGGTTTTCGGACCGTCTATTAAAAGCAAAATAGGAATAAGAGAAGCGATCACCTAGCAACGCGAGAAACGGCTTCCTATATCTTATTTAGAGCTAAAACTGGGATATATAAACAAAACACATACAGAAGGTAGAGTTGAAAAGTCTTTATTTCAATTTAGTTTACGTCTTCTTTTTTAGCTCTAAAACTCGGATATATATAAACAAAACATACACAAACTGGAGCTGAAAACGCTTTACTTCAAGTTTGTCTGACTATTACAGAACTGGTTTCTCCGTTTTACCTCGAGGAAATGAAAGTCTCAACGTTTCACGCACCGTGAGTCAGTTAATTATGAGATTTTACAAGCCCAAAGTTGAATACAAATTAGCTCTACAGGAAAAACCTCAAGGGAACATATTGACGTATTATTATAAAACAACTTAACAAGGATCAATTGATTAAACACGCGACTAATAATTGCTTGCAGGGAAAACAACAAAAATGAGGGAAAATATTAAAATTGTGGTGGAGAGAAATTGAGGAGGGAAACGTGATAAAAAAAGATAGCTTGCTTTCTTTGACTATTTTAATAGATTTCTTTCAAATCGTTGTGTATTTGACTCTTTTTTTTAAAACGGTATCTCGTGTCTGATTTTATTGCTAGCAATTAATAGTCAGACAAACTTGAAATAAAGCGTTTTCACCTCCAATTTGTGTATGTTTTGTTTATATATATCCGAGTTTTAGAGCTAAAAAAGAAGACATAAACTAAATTGAAATAAAGACTTTTCAACTCTACTTTCTGTATGTGTTTTGTTTATATATCCGAGTTTTAGCGCTAAATAAGATATAGGAGGCCGTTTCTCGCGTTGCTAGGTGATCGCTTCTCTTATTCCTATTTTGCTTTTAATAGACGGTCCGAAAACCAGGCTCAAGTTACTTCACGGGCAAGTCTAGGCAAGCCTATTGTTTCTATTGAAGTAGAGAGACGCTCATTCAGTAAACCTTTCCACTTCATTATATATGGAGGAAGGCAATTAATTAGTATGCAGGAAATCCAAATTGGTATGCAGGAAATCCAAATTAGTACGCGGGAAATCCAAAGGAAATCCAAAATGGGGCTTATCTTTCAACACAGTATACTACTTTAAATATTGTATTGAAATAGTCAAAGAAGGCAAACCATCTTCTTTTTTTACACTGCGCAGAACGTTGTACTTACCCCTCTACCTTTTCATTTTTATTTCCCTCCTCCTCCACAATTTTATTATTTTCACTCCTCAATTTTTTTTATTCCCTCCTCCACAATTTTATCATTATTCCCTCCTTGGCGTATGCAAATTACAATGCGTAAAGGTGAACAGCAATAGCAAAATAAAAACAAAACATAAAAAGCGAAATACTTTGAAAAAATTTTTTTAGCACTTTTTACAAAATGCACATAAATTATGTATAGGAAGGTTTATGCAAAGATGCAAAGCAGCATTCAATCGCGATAAGAGAAAAAGCGATGCCCTCCTACAATTCTCTCCGCTTATTAAATTTGGGAATGTAAATTTTAGACTGAAAAAGGTAGCAAGCTTTCAGGGGAAGAAAGTGAATAATTTAAATGGTATTGAAAAGAGGTGATTCCTATTTTGGGGCGCAAATTAGCATCGGGGTTTAGTAACAGAGGCGAAAAAAACGAAGAAAGAAAGTGGCAAAATTAGCTAATTTTGGTAACATCTTCTTCGGCATGTACTATTTTTGGCTGTTTTTCCTGAGTGAGAACTTCTTAATAGATATCTTGCCGTCCAAAGTCCAGGCGCTATGCCAATGATTATCTTTCTTAAATTTTCTGACCTTAGCCAACAACTTGCGCCTTAGATTTCCATTGATATATACCACGTTTGTAGCATGAAAATACTGATTTAAAGTTACTGACTTTAGATGTTTCCTAGCTTTGTACAGCTTAGTTTTCTTCTTATGTGATTTAAACCGAACAATAATACGGCCCTGTGCCTTGATTCCCTGACTTAAGAATCTACATAGTGCTAGGACACGGCCTTACTGGAAGGCCGAGAAATGCCATGTTACTTACATATCTACTCAGTCACGCTCAGCATAAAACCACTAATAAACCATCTTTTTTCAGAAATAAATTCAAATTATTAAAAACTTACCATCCAGTTCTAGATGAAAGAAGACTAAAGGAAACCGCATTAAGGATCTGGAACCTTCCAACTGGACAAATGTACCTCTGAATGAGATGTATAATTTTCCTGTATCTATCTCTTCCTGAAAGAAGGGCAATTTTACGTGTATTAAAAATGTGTGAAGATAAACAATGAAATCACTTACACAAAACATTAACAATTCTAATATCTACTGTGTAACAGGCATTTTACAAGAAAAAGTGATGCTAGCAAACGTTCAATTAAAGTTTAACATGCCAACTCTGTTAAATCCAACATGCCCATCATCTTGTCAGAGGTATAACAACGAAAACGCATTATTTTGAAATTATAAAAAGACATCATTTATATATTAATAAGTAATAAGGCAAAAAAGGGACAAGCAGAGTACGCATCAATGCACCCTCTTTCCTCACCTTTCTCTATTGTATGGTCATTTATCCATGACATTCGCCTTCACCATGGACTAAAACAGAATTCGCGTCGGGACCCTAGACAAAACATAGCAACATATAGGATTGACTGTCGTAAACTGGTCTAAATCACAAGTTAGTTTTAAATCAAACAAGAGAAGCAAAAAATAAAGCACATATGACATATGAGATACCTGCTTAAATTCTGAGATAATTGAGCCTTTTTCCTATCTGAATTGTCAAAAAATGCTTAACCGAGTTAAGTTTCCTCTAGTGGATAGATTTACACACATACGGCGGTCAAATATATGGTGGCCGACAAGGAAAATACATACCACAAAACCCAAAAAGGAAAACCAAAACACAAAACAGAAACACAGATTCAAAACGGAAGCACAAGATAAAACCAGAATCACAAAATACAAAATAGAATAATACAATTTAAAAAAAAAAACTGAAAGTTTTCCTTGATGCCCGAAATACAAAACAAACACTCAAAACCCGGAAATAGACGTGCAAAACCCTAAAAAAAAGCATGGCAAGCAAAATCGAAAAACCCAAAACCCGAAACAGAAAGATAAATCTCTAAACGGAAATACAAAACCCCAAACAAGGAACACAAAACAGAATCGGCTCCTGACCCAGAAACAGAAACTCAAACTGATGTAAAATAGTAGTTTCTCATGCTGCATCTTATCTAAGCACATGATGTCATAGTCATCATGCTGTGCTGATGCTAGTCATCATGCTATGCTGATGCTAGTCATTTTAGTGTCCCCGATTAGTAGGCCTGACGG